TGTGTCTCAGAGTCGGCTACACCCAGGTAGTGCCGGACATATTAATTCCCAATAAATCCTTTTGAAGTTTTGGAAGTTTGGCTCAAGACTTGTGATTTAATTGGAGTAACTGCAGGAATCCTGACAGAAACTCTACTGCACACAGGCTCCATTTTCATCTATTTGCCGTAAGCTTCCAGTTCAGATTCCTTCATTGGACAAGGAAAGAACCTGGACCTCTCTCTGCTCTTAATTCAGCCCCCCGTTGACTCAGGGAGAGGACTACCACCTCGGCCACCCATCCCCTGTCCTGCACCTTCACCACCAGAACCTCAGGCCTTTTCCCCAGCATTGTGTCTCAACAAGAATGCGAAACTTCAATTAGCTTCTCTCCTTGTGTTGAAGTGCTCGGCCATGGCCTGCTGATCAGCCACCATTAGAAACGACACAAGAGCCCTTCGGGTCAGGCACACAGTAGGACAATGCTTGGGAAAATAATCTTTTGCTTGAAGTAAACTAAGATGGAGAGAAAGCCTGTCCAGCGTCTCTGTGGGTAGAGCCAGCATGCAAAGAGAAAACACGGAGAGGAGCGTCAGGAAACATCCGACTCAAAAGTATTTGTGGAGGAGGTGAGGTCCCTGTGCATCTCAGTGTAACTCCTCCATTCAGCCTGCAGCCAGATAATTGTTCCACATTTCTGAATCAAAAGCAATTACCTCTGACTTCCGCTCAGAAAGGGCTTACTCCAAATAATCTCAGCCTTTGGAGAAAAGCTCCTCTGGCAACCAATCCTCTTAGGTAGCCAAGTAGTTTGTTTGAGGGCCTCCAACTGAAGGCTGTCCCCATTTTTCTTTCTCTTTCAGAAGAAGGCAGGCATCTGCTGTCAGAAACTGGCTGATTCCAACAGACGTTCATCCCTCCAGCGATACAGACCATACACTCTGCTCCCTTTTGATTTTAGGATCAAAACAGATTGCCTTCATCCGCAGGATGCAGGTCTCATAATCTTTCCCCAAAAATTAAAAAAAAGAAAGAAAGATGGGGCTGCAGAAACAGACCAAAGAAATTCAAGGATCTTAGAACCTCTCAGAAACTGAAGGATTGGTGGCAGCAAAGCAGTTCCTCTCCAGATTCTCTCCTGGGAAACAGGGGTGTTGTGTTTGGGGAGCGTGTTTTCCAGTTTCCAAATTGGTCCACTATCTCCCAAAGATTGCAGAACCATCTTATAAACATTATTTTTCTGACCTTTCATTAATGCTAGTTCAATTCTCTTCATCTTAAATTCATCAGGAGAAATGCCTGAATTATATAGATACATTTAAATATATAGATTCCCATTTGTATTTAAAACATGAACTGAAATTTTGACCACTGAAAAAAGAGGATAGTGCCGTGACAATAGCAAAAGTTCAAGACTTATGGCAACAATACTGTACAATGCAACAGTACTGTCCCTGTGGCTATGGTCTGTCCATCTGCTTCAAGTGATTCTATCAGCACCTCTCTTCATGTTACCGTTTCACTGGATTTTTCAAAACCTCAACAGGTTTTGTAACCAAGATATTAAATATTTTAAATGCTCCTTTTACAAAGATATTCAGCGATATGAAAGGGGGATGCCAACAGGTTGCTAGCTAGAGAACTGCTGTACCATGTCCATATGTTTCCTCATCTTTCCATCATATCTGACAATTCATCTCCCAAAATTCTGAATATACAGAAATGTTTAGGCTGAATTCTTACTGTGTAAGACAGGAGTCTTCAAACTTGACAGTTTTAAGGCTTGTGGACTTCAACTCCCAGAATTCCTCCTCCAGTCATGTTAGCTCAGGAATTCTGGGAGTTGAAGTCCACAAGTCTTAAACTTGCCAAGTTTGAGCATCCTTGGTGTAAAATGACAGCACTAAGAGATGGTTTCAGGGAGACCGCATAATGTGAGCCTGTGTGAGAGTGTGTACCCGGCAATGCTCCTTTTAAAGCATCTTCTCAAAATTATTTATCTTCATTTCCATGGATTTTGTTCACTGTCTTTTTCTGATTTTCCCTTATTACAGGGATTGTGAGCGCCTTGTGAATTGCCTGGGTATGTTGATTATATGGCAATGGTGTTGGTTAAGAAAATACTGGAAGTGAATTATGGAGAGAGAAAAAACATTTGATTACATTGTTTCATGTTCTTTCTTTTCCTTCTAGTCCTCAGACTGAGGTGTGGGGGTGATTATGACAGCTTCTTTTTTAAATTATTAAAGGGAAAATAGGACCTCCTTCTTAGCAATCCAGAAGACTGGTATAATGCTTCATTTCATCTCCATGCAGTTTATCCTTCAAAATCTAATTATTATTAGTGAGTATATTTTTAGCGATGATGTTCACATTTGAACTTTTCAAATGACTAAGCTGTCCATTTTTAAACTGAAAATGATGGCAAAGACAAACATCTTTCACACAAGAATCATTCAAACCATTATCACGTATTTTTTGTGCTTTGATCCTTCTGATTCTGAACACCGCTTTACATTCATGCCTCATAACTATTAAGGGCAATCTCTGAATGTTTAAGGCTGGATGGCTGGATGATCAGGCCCACATCTTGCAACACAGTGTTCAACAAACGGAGCAAACTCGCAAATTATAGTTCTGTAATAATAAAGTGACCCTTATGAATTTACACGCAGATAAATGGTTATTAAATTTTCAGCATTTAAGTATGTTTTTATAACACCATAAAAGGAAGCAGTAATTTGAGGAGAAATGCCATAATTTGCAAGGTGTCCATAAGAATTTATTTGTGCTGACTCTTGAGTACTGTATTTGTAAGTGAACAGTTCCATCATGATAAAGAAAGGAGTTACATTATTTTAATATGTAAATTTTAATTGGCTAGCATTCTGCCACTCTAAACTTGCGGAGATTAATAATATACATTATTATTTTTAAGGCTTGAATTCTGCTGTATTATAAACTGATTTTGAATGGGATAACTTTGAAATGCAGATAGTTAATACTAATGCAATAAATAAAACAATGTGATTATTAACTTGTATGCTTGGTATCTCTCATTAGAAGTTTCCCTAAGTAAATACAAATTATTAGAAGAAATGTACAGTTGTGTGAACTAGATAGAAGACCTTCTCCCGGTCTGGTTCAGCATTTTTTACAAGGTTTTTCAGTGCAACTCGTTTGTATGTAATTGTGCATTCACATGATTAGAAGTCTCTTCAGTGTCAAGGTGAAAGTACCTGTCAGAGTACTTCTGATTAGAAATGCCATATTTCATTAATTTCTGATTTCGTAAAGAGGAGCTGAAAAGAAATCTCAGTAATTGAGCTGGATGTGGGCACTATAACTCAGTAGATACATCAAATGCTTACTATTTTGGACCCCCCCGCCCCAGAATAGATCCAATCTTCAAAAGCCACAGCCACTCAAACATTAGGACCACGAACGACACATCCAAAGAGATCCTTCAACATGCCCATTTTTAACTCCAGAAGACATTTAAAAGCGAGGAGGGGAGTTCCACATGCAACTCAACTCTCCAATCAACTCCTCTTCCAGCTTAGTCCAGAAATGGGCTTGCTGGGTTATTCTCAGCCTTTTTTTTTTTGAAAACTTTGCAGTTATATCACTGCCTGTCACAGACAGATAGACGGACAGATCATTGGTGCTGTTCTACCGGTTCGGCCTGGTTCTGGCCTACCGCTAGTGCTGAAGATCAGCTGAGATCGAACCGGTTCTCTCTGATGTGCTGCTGTTGGGTCCACCTGGGCTCCCATATTGACCTTTATTCCCTGCCTTTGAAGCTCAGCTGCTCTGTGTGGCACAGCAGTGCCGCGAGTCAGCTGCTGAAGCTACAGGGATTGCAGGAGGTGAGTAGGAAACGCCTGTGTGTGTGTTTGGCATGTGTGCAAAGCGTGCCCAGCTAGCCACGCCCACCGAACCTTTGGCAAACCTCTTTGAAACCCACCCCTGGGACGGACACCCACTTTGGAAAGTCAAAGTGATTTTGCAGGTCACTGCAGCATTTCAAGCAATAACAGAGAGTCGACCAAATTAGCAGACAAGCAGGAAGTGTGCACACCTCGGGTTCTTGCCTTTACACCTTGAAACCTAACTCACAAAAGAGGCATGCATTTCTGTCCTAAAAGAGAGATTTTAAAAATCGTTTCTCCTAATTGGGTGGAAGGAGGAGGAGCCCTTATCCACAGATGTATTGTTCAAGAAGTACAATATTTATCTTCGTAAGGTCATCCTGCCCATCCCTCTGCTTCTTTACGCCAATATTCCTGGTTTGTCTCCCAAGGTGACTTCCTACCTAGGCGGTTTTTCCCAACCACAAAAAAAAACACCAGAAGCCACAAGGAAGACCTGCCCTAAAGTGGAACAAAACCCCAGAAACACCCCGAAAGGCGAAGACAGACAGACAGCTCAGCAGAAACCTGCCTGCCTTCCATCCATCCACCCACCCACCCTGAGCTTGCTTGCCTTCCCAGAGCACTCCGAGGATTGCCTGGCAAGCTGGTGGGGGGCCGTCCTTCCCCCGGGGAAGCAGCCAGGCTGGGTGAGGGAGAAACGGGGTGGGTGGGAGGAGGAAGAGGAGGATTGGGCAGCTGCACCCCGTGAATCCTGGGGTGGTACCTCCACCCCGGTTGGCCCTGGGCTGGGGAGCCAGAGGCGAGGGTCTCCCCTTCCCACCCGAGGGTCCTTGGGGGCAGGTGGGGCGGGAGGAGGGCGGCCCCGTCCAGAGAGGGTGAGCCGGAGGACGAGGGTCCCAGTCCCCCGGGGTGACCTGGGGCGGCCCCCGCCTGAATCCCCCCAGCCGACCCGCAGGGGGGGAGGGGGAAGGTCTCCTGTCCGGGCTGCCCTCCCTCCCCCTTAGCAGAGCCACCTTTCCCGGAGGCCCCGCCAGAGGGTCCCTGGGGAGGGGGAGGGCCGCGCCCACTATTCTGCCCCCGGCCCCGACTCGGCCTGCGGGGCTGGGCCTCCCTGCCTGCCTGCGGGTCCCGGGCGGGGCCACTCACGATGGTGACGCTGGCCTTGCGCAGGTCGCGGTTCTCCTCCTGCAGCGCTTTGCACTTGAGCTTGTAGGTCTCCAGCTCGATCTTCAGCACCTTGTTCTCCTGCTGCAGCGAGGCCAGCCGGTTGGTCAGCTCCTCCAGGCGGAACGGGGAGATCACGATGCCGCCCGCCTTCCCGCCGCCGCCGCCCCCGGGAGCCCCCGCCGCTGCCGCCGACGGGGAGCCCCCGGCCGGCCCCGACGACGACGCCTCCGCGGCCCCGCCGCCGCCGCCACCGCCGCCGTCCGTGTCGCTCTCGCTGGCGCTGTCGGCCATGCTGGCCCAGGGAGGCGGGGAGGGAGGCCGGGCCGAGCCAGGCGCCCTTCTCGCTTCTGCCGCCGCCGCCGCTGCTCCTCTCTCGCTCTCTCGCTCGCTGCTGCTGCTGCTGCTGCTCCGCCTGCCGCGCCGCCTTCCGCCCCGCGCGCTCTCGCCCGCCCGCCCGCCAAGAGGAGCGCCTCCGAGGCCGCCCGCCGCGCCCACAGCGGCCCCTCCGGCGCCCTCCGGCACTGCACCCTCCTTCCTCCTCCGCAGCCTCAAAGGCGTCCCTTTCTCCGCCCTGCCCCTTCCTCTCTTCGGGGGGAGGGGGGGGGGTCAGCCTTTCTTGGCGTCCGGCAGCTGGTGGGAGGGTCTTTCCAGATTTCTAGCTCATGGGCGGCCCGGGACTGCCGGCACCGAGAACCGTCTTTGCTCTCCTTGCTTCCTGAGGCGGGTCTCACCATTCAAAGGTCTCTCTCACACACGCGCGCGCGCAAACACACACGTCTCTCCCCGGGCAGCCTCTCCCATTAGACAAGCTGGAGCAACCCAAGGGGGGCTGGCAGCAGAGGGGGAGTCTGTGGGGAGATCTGCTGGACCCCTTCCCCCCGTCCTGACCCAGATATTACCTCGTGGTCTCCTGATAGAGGAATTTAATTCAAACCCAGAATTTAACTGTGGTATAAACTTGCAGGGGTCTCCAACCTTGGTAACGTTAAGCCTGGAGGACTTCAACTCCCAGAATTCCCCAGCCAGCTCTGCTGGCTGGGGAATTCTGGGAGTTGAAGTCCTCCAGGTTTAATGTTACCAAGGTTGGAGACCCCTGGTATAAATCAGACTTTCTCAACCTGATGCTGTGACCCTCAGTTCCCAAATATTTCTAACCAATAGACCTGGAGACCATAATAAAAAGATACACGGATTGTATGAGCTGGGAAGGGAGCTTATTGAATAAGCTGCAGAACAGTGTTTCTCCATCAATGTCCATCGTCGTGCTTGGATACGTCCTTGACAAATTCACCCTTGCCTCTGGGTGTATGCCAAAGTGCTCCCAAGGTAGGTGCCTACACCACCTCCTCCCCATTTTTTTTGGATACTGAGACTTACCTTTGCCCTTCGCTAATCTTCTGGCACCTCTGGAGCTTTTTAAGGTTATATAATCTGCACTTCTGCCAACACCCTGAGAGGAGGCATTCCAGAGCATGGGAACATAATTTGTTTACGTTAGCTTCTTACTACGCCTCTATTCCCCTTGAGTCCTTTTATTCCTCCCAGAAGTTGGGTTCCCTTCTCTTCTGCAGGCTTCTTTAGCCACGGCCCTCTCCCTCTTCTGATAGAAGGCAGGCAGGGCGCAGGCCTTCCCCATATAACTTCCCTGTGGAAAAGACCCTCTTCCGTGCCTTCCTTGCCAGCTCATCTTTAAGTTTCCTGATGTGTTCACACTGTGGGTGTGGCCTTTTCATCTCCCTTTGGCTTTTTAGCTTGTCCAGGAGGTCTCTCTGAAGCTTTCCTCATGTCATTACACTCATTTCTTCCTGCATTTTCAGGACCTTTTTAGAAGGCCTGGAACATTGCCCGACTTCCACCTGTGGCTGTTAAAATCTAGATTCCACCTGTGGTGGTTAAAATCTAGATTCCACCTGTGGTGGTTAAAATCTAGATTCCACCTGTGGTTGTTAAAATCCAGCTTCCTGAAGCCCAAAGTACATAAACTGCTTCTTCAAATTCTCCTCACTCAGGTGGCTTGGATGCCAGTGTGACATGGTTATTTTCTTCCTGATGTCTTCAGTCGGTCAATCTGAGAGCTGAGATTAATCCAGAATAGCTGACCCCCCTTGTTTGTTCTCCCATCTTCTAGAGAAAAAAAATCAATTGTTTGCAAGGAAAAAATATATGGATATTTACTAGCCCCCCCTTTTTTTCTTCTCCAAGTCCTTTATTCCCATTGGGATGTTGTCTTTCTCCTTGAAACCATCCCCGTGCCTCCCCTCCTGCTGAACAGATGTCCTATCCTCCCCAAAGGTTGTGTACTGCTGGCCTTCAAGATCTCTGATGGGTCTTTAAGAAGAAAACATTGGCCTCTAGTCTTTCACTTTCAGCTAGGAGAGAAGTTTCCATTTGTAAGATTAGCTTGCCTTTCTGGTTAAGACAAGCACAGCACATCTGGTAAACCATTCATTTCCTTGTGCCTGTCTTTTCAACACGACAGGAGACTCATTTGCTTTCCCTTGCACTCCCCTATTCTTGCTAATTTTCCTAATCTCCACTCTCCCAGTTGCTTCTTCTAAAGAGAATTGCTGCAAACTGAGCTGGTTACCTGATCAATCAGCTTCAGCTGTCAGCCTCCCCACCCCACATAACCCCCAATCACTGTTCAACAAAGAGACGGATGTGCCACTCCACAGGTCAAATCCCCAAATTTAACATCATTTTCACTACTCATCAGCTTGCAAAATTCCTCACTCTTCTCTCTGGCTCAGAAGAGTTTGTGCTTCTCCCATTCACTCATTCCAGTCTATGTTTATTTGATGAATGCACATTTTCAGTGTTTCGATAGCTTCAAAGATTGAAAATAAAAAGTGGTCTCAAAAATATTGATGTTTTGATTTGTATCAGAGATGGAGAAGCCCTGGATTTTTTTTTTAAATGTTGTTGGACTGTATTTATTCATCATCATTTTTACTACCTTCTTTCAGAGCAGAAAATCTCTCATCGTACCTGGTCATTGGCCATAATGGAGCCATGGTGGCACAGTGGTTAGAATGCAGTATTGCAGGCTAATTCTGCCTACTGCCAGAAGTTCAATTCTGACTGGCTCCAAGTTGACTCAGCTTTCCAGCCTTCCAAGGTGGGTAAAATGAGGATCCAGATTGTTGGGGGCAATAGGCTGACTCTGTAAACCGCTTAGAGAGGGCTGGAAAGCGCTGTGAAACAGTATATACGGTAAGTCTAAGTGCTATCGCTAATATCACATGGAAGGGTCTCATCACTTCCCTACCTCTGGACAGCTGAGGTTTAATGGTCAACCCCTCCTCCTCCCCTTACCACCACCACGCTGCTTAGTAATGTTAAAGGAGTCATCTTTTTCCTAGGCTATTCATTTTCTGCAGGCTTCATCTAACTCAGAGGTCTCCAAACTTGGCAAGTTTAAGACTTGTGGGCTTCAACTCCCAGAATTCTCCAGCCATTCTGGGAGTTGAAGTCCACAAGTCTTAAACTTGCCAAGTTTGGGGACCCCTGATCTAACTCAATGTTGCCCAGAGGACTATTGGCCATGCTTCTGACATCTTGTTCCAGACTTGAGATGGTAGACTGGGCCAAGGAATGGGGTGGGTGGAAGGAAGGCAAATGAGAATGGGAGAAATAGTAATGTTAAATTAGCCAGTTGTTCGTCTAGTGTTCACCTAAAGAAATCTGATGAGAGTCAGATAGTCCTTGGGCATTACACAAATAACACAAAGGTGTGAATCCAAGGTCATCAAGAAGACTTCTCAAAAGAACAGTTTGCAAAAAGATTAAGAAAGTGCTACAACGTCAATCTATTCCCTCCTTAGTGAAACAGCAGTTTTGACATTGATAAGCAGTACAATTTATACATCAACCTCCCATTGTCTTGTTGAAAGAATGGAAAAGTCTCAAGAGGCTCCAAATACAATTCCTAGCCCCTTCGGTGGTCTGTACGCCAGTCAACTCAGTGAAGGAATTTTCTTTAAAATAGGTAGCATTCCCTCTGATTATTCAATGATACAATGGTTGGTAAGTTATCTTACCATCCCCCGAAACAGAAAGATTCTGTTTTCATTTCATTTGTAATTCCAGAATTATATTTGTTTTCCATCGGTGATCCAGCCACCCTTCTGCTGTGCATCAGTAAAACAAACGCAACACACCCTTAATGGTTCTTGAAGTACGGAGACGTCTGTGCTTTGTGAGGAAGGCCTAGGATCCAGGATCCAGAAGCAGGAAGGAGATGAGATTTTGGCTACATGTGAGGAGGGGAGGGTAGAGAAATTCAGGGTCCTTGGCTCTAAAAATAGACCATTTCCATCCCTTCCAAGCCACCCAACATCCTGAGATGGAAGATCTCAAGAGGCAATCATCAGCTGGCATGGAAAGGAGGAGAAATAGCAGCTGTTCTGGGGAAGAAAAGGAGAATTTGAGGTCGGGGGAAAAATCTGCTTTTGATAAAAGGCAGACCTGGATGACAGGTGAAATAAAGAAGGCAGAAGAAGAGGGAGAAACAAAGAGAGCAAAAACTGAAGGCACAGTGGGACCCCCCAAAAGGTAAGACAAGAAGCATTGGGTGGGAACTAATCAAGGAGAGAAACAACCTAGAACTAAGAAAATTCTTAACAATCAAACAGTGGAACAAATTGCCTTTAGAAGTTGTGGGTGTTCCATCACTGGAGGCTTTTAAGGGGAAATTGGATAGACATTTCTCAGAAATAGTGTAGGTCTCCTGTCTGAGCAGGAGGTTGGATTAGATGATCTCCAAGATCCTTTTCCAACTTTTTTTTTTTTTTTACTGTTATCGTTTCTGGAATTCACAATCTTGAGGGGGAGAAAGGAGAAGGCAAAGCTTCCTCAGAGGATTAACACCAGGCACAAAGCATTCTGCAACCGCCATGTCATTGAAGTGTTTTAACACAATTTATTTTATGCTTAAATTATCAACTAGATCATCCAGTGTTGGTGGGTGTTTTTTTTTTTTCATACATATGTAATTAGAGCTATTATCAACGAATCCTGTTTCCATATGAAGATAATTAACAAATTAAAAGTATTTCACCAAAAAACCCAAATAAAAATGCCCTTTTAAAACACAGCAGCCTTAACAACCTAATATTAATCTGCTAGGATGATTACACGATTGGCTTCCTGAAAGATTCTACATCTTAGAGCCAGTACACAATATAGTAATATTTTTACAGCGTGCTGCCACTCTGTTAGCTAAGAAATTCTCTTCCTTCCTTTCCCCCCTCCTTTTTTTTTTTTTTTTTAAATATTCCCTACTGGCGCTCCCAAGACCATCACCCCAAACTGCCAAAAGCTGCAAGCATTTCCCCCAGTGGAAAGCAAGGACGGGTAGCACCCACC